CTTGAGAATGGGAATAGCAGTGAAGACACGTCAGAAGGTAGCGATGGACCACCTTCTCCAAAGCGTGCAAGAATTGATGACGAAGGTCTCATTGCAGAGGCTGTATTAGCCTATGCTGCAAGCGTTGGCGAGGCGGACGACGCTCCATCAACATACAGCCAAGCGTTAAAAGGCGAAGACAACAGCAAGTGGATTCAAGCGATGCAAGCGGAGCTCAAGGCGCACGCCGATAACGGGTCCTGGACACTGGTACCAAAACGGCAAGACATTCGACCAATCGGGTGCAGATGGATATTCGCTAAGAAGCGAAACGAACACGGACAAGTGGTGCGCTACAAAGCTCGACTCGTCGCAAAGGGGTTCAAGCAGAAATTCGATGTCGACTTCTTCGAGACGTACTCTCCCGTGGCAAACATGAACTCGATCAGGGTTGTGCTAGCTGTGGTGGTGACAAAGGGATACGTCACTGAGCAGCTGGACGTAGACACGGCGTTCTTGAACAGTGATCTCAAGGAAGAGGTGTACATGGAAGTGCCAAATGGCATAGCTAATGCGGAGAAGATGATGTGCAAGTTGGACAAGGCAATCTACGGTCTCAAGCAGGCTGCAAGTGCGTGGAACAAGACAATCCATGCTGTATTCTTACAGATCGGACTTCGTAGCAGCGGAGCAGATCAGTGTATCTACGTCAAGCATCAAGATGACAACTATGTCTATGTTTGTCTCTACGTCGACGACATGATCATCGCCGCCAAGACCAGCAGGGAGATTCAAGAGGTCAAGACAGCACTCAAGAGCTCATTTCGTATTAAGGAGCTAGGCAAGGCTAAATTTATTCTTGGCGTGGAGATTGATCATGACCACAACTGCAGTAAGCTGATGATTCGACAGACTCGATACATCGATGATGTGGCCAGCCGTTATAATCAAGAGGACGCAAAGGCAGTGGTCAACCCATGCGAGTCCGGCCTGAAGCTGTCAAAGAAGCAATCCCCAACGACGGATGTCGATAGAGCAGAAATGCAGTCAAAGCCGTACAGGTCGCTGATCGGATGTTTGCTATACATCACGACATGTACGCGCCCAGATGTGATGTATGTCATCACGCAGTTATCAAGGTTTTTGGAGAATCCAGGTCAGCAACATTGGAAGGCAGCCATTCGTGTTCTTTGGTATCTCAAGACGACAAGAGACTACGGGATAATCTACGACGGCAGCGCTAGCGAAGTAACAGCTACAGCGTATACGGACGCGGACTGGGGTAGCAACATCGATGATCGACGCTCCGTGTCAGGGATAATGGTGATCATCGGTGGCGCACCAGCCATATACAAGTCCAAGTATCAACGCACGGTGGCTCTAAGCTCTGCTGAGGCAGAGTACATGGCTTTAAGCCTGTGTACACAGGAAGTGTTATGGGTTCGTGCGCTGCTTAAGGATCTAGGTCACGAGCAAGTGGGAGCAACGTGGGTCTGGGAAGACAATCAAGGAGCAATTGGGCTTGCCAGCAATGCCGGCTACAATGCCAGAACCAAGCACGTTGACATTCGTCACCACTTCATCCGGGAGAATGTGGCCCACGATATCATCGTGGTCAAGTACATCTCCACCATGGACCAATTGGCCGACATGCTAACGAAGGCTCTGGGGACCAAGCGACTGAACTATTTGATACAAGCAAGCTGCATTGGACCCAAGGGCATTTAGCAATAGCGGTATGTGGGAGTGTTAACATAGCACCGTCTACTGCTTTTTATGTTCATGGATAGGTTTGGAAGAATCGAGAAGGACTGGCTGAGAAGAAGCACAGCATGACGTCATCGGGTGACGTCACAAGGAGAGCTTCTTAAACCTTCTGGAAGATCTTGAGAAGATCGAAGGGTGTTGATTGGTCTCGATAAACCAGTGAACCTTCTAGAAGATCTTGAGAAGATCGAAGGGTGTTCATTGGTCTAGCTAAATCAGTGGGACTGATATAGTTTGTCTAAGTATAGGAAATGAGTGGCTTAGAGGTAGCGAAGCAAGTTTGCGAACTAAGGACCATAAATATATTCACTTTACAATTTGCCTTCGCCTGCGCACATCAACATCAACAGAGATTGATACATAAATTGACAACATTAAACTCTCTCTTCAGCGTCTGTTGTTGTACGGTGTTTTGCAACTAGTTCAGTTCGATGAAATGGATTACTTATCAAAGAACGAGCTCCAGAGCTTGCTCCTCTATCTTTTAGTTCTTTGTACTGAATTAATTACACATACCAAAGGGCGAGCCCCAGAGCTTGCTCCCCTATCTTATCAGGGGAGGCCCCTCTGACACCGACAGAGAAGGGTGACGTAAGTTCTGTTTAGTAAGTTTGTCGACTGAAAAGTACGGAGCTTTTTCTCCTGTCTTAATACGGCGATGTCATTTTCAATCCCATTCTTAGAGGACTAAACCACATCTGTTGAGAGTAAGTAACGTGACGTCGTATACGCCTGGCCGTCACTCGACTTTTTGACCAGGTCGGCGTAAAGTAGAATCGATTATTACATTGCGATGGATGCTCAAACGACAATGCACAATGGAAGAGCACAAGTTTGTGGCAAGTAAAACTGCTTTGTATTCAAACTATCACATCAAAGACCGTGCAGACAAAAGTTGGTTGGTAGACTAGCACAGTAGTGGTGCGAGTCGGGAATCCAATGGCTGCGTCAAACAAAACAAAACAGAACACTTCGAGTGACGCTATGACCTATGGCTGGCCTGCGCGTAACTATTGGCGAAAATGCTTCTTCGGTGAGCAGTGCGCGGTGCAACACTCACGCGCGCTGAAATTGGTTTCGGAATCACGGAGCCAACACTCTCTTGCTGCAGATTCCTTTTTCGCCTGGGAATCGCAAGCTAGCGTATTACCACAGTACGGCAACCACTGGGCATGGGTAGAGACGATCGAGACGGCCACGGCGAGGATGACGAATGCGCAGATCCTGATGTTCATGATTGCGGACGATAGCTGCGTACGATGCTGTGGGGTAGTTCGCCTGGCTTGGCGAGTGTCAGAATGAGAGTCAAGGCGAAAAAAACGGAGGTCTAGGCCGTTGAGCGCATAAGGAAGGTCAAACGTTAGGAGACGATTCACCTAGCCGAACACAGAGTTGACCATCCATGTATTCAGTTTCAGCCTGCTGTAAAATTTTACGTTCGAGAGGGTTGCGACTTGCTGACTACGCCATCTGTAGGGCGCTCTCGTCCGGCACTACTCGAGGTTCAAGATCGCCAGAGATCCAGGTATATGATGGGTCGTTCATGCATCCAAAAAGCAATACGGAAAATACAATCGCACGACCATACTTCCAGCATTGTGTAAAAACGAGCTTCTAAGTTGTGGACGAGAGGTACTATATAAGTCTGCGAGCGTGGGTATGGACGGCCATCTGTCATCTCTATTTTCGTGGCTTCATACTGCTCTATAACATTTAGTTACAACTGCAATGCCAATTTGTACAGCTGCTTCGAGTTGCTGCATCAAGTGCGCTTCACCCTTGCCAAGCCTCGATCAGCAAAAGCTTGATCGACACAATTTTTGTTACCCATACATAAAACGCTCGGACGGGTCACAGTGAAGCTTTTCTCATTCTGTAAAAATTTGCAGTTCTCACCGCATCCCACCGCTTGTTCAACTTTTACGAAGTGGTCACGTATGATCTGGCACATCTGGAACGAGCTGTTGGCACTAACTACCGTGGAAGGGGTAACTTTGAGGAATGTTTCGAGCGTCGTCGTTGACGTCAATAACGAATAGAAATGCAATATAAGGTGCACGCATAGTACCTCAGCATCACCACCAAGTCTAATGGTCGGTAGACCACGAGTTCACAACTCTTTAGAACCTCTCGAAAAGTCCAGCTGGTATCCGTGGAAACTCGAGCACCAACTAGCAACAAGGGCTTCGTCTGAAGTAACAAGCAGAAGTTTGTGATTTCTCCGCGCATAAAAGTGAGGAATTACTTCATCAGCGTATGATCGTCTTCGAGAGGGTGCCCTTCATGGTAGCCGTTGTGGACGTCGAATGTAGCATCAACGAAGCAATGACGCAACGAGCTAAAAACAGCCGCCACCTGGTGTGTACCATACGGAAGGGGTCGTTGGTCGTCTTTTTTGGCATTCGTGAGTATAGCGTGTCAGGCGGGGGGTTGGAACAGAAGAAATTGTTGCGGTGATTCGTATTGTAAGGGGTGTGTTAGCATCTGACGTAGGGGGGAAGAGAGCCGACAAAGGAGGGGCTGTTTCGTCTTACCAGACTGTCCATCTGCTAGATGATTAAGTTAACAACGACCGGGACGGTAGAAGTCGTCTAGCAAATGCTGATCAAAACCGATGTACTTGACTTCGAACAATGCGTGGCGTAGTACAAGACATCGGACATCAGAAACAACAAAGTGAGAGTGCAACGGAGTACAAGATATCGTGTTCCTCATTCAAGATGTCGTGTTCCTCATTCAAGATGTCGTGTTCCTCATTCGAGATGTCGTGTTCCTCATGCGAGATGTCGTGTTCCTCATGCGAGATGCCGTTTTCTTGATTATATAGTGGCTCAGTGTGATGCTGGACACAGCACCGGGACAGTAGTTGGCTGGGACGCACCGCTACGGTTGGTACAGTTCCAGCATGTTTACACCTGTTGGTGTATACTGCTCAGTCCAACAGAGGGGGTTGTCACCTTCGAGTTTTTTTTCCTTCCTCAATCTTAAAGTGAGAGAGGCTCAGACTGTCCGTTGTTATAGCTACTTTTCACTAAAATGATGTCTGGTTGTGTGGTAACCATCTCGAGTCATCGACCATGACACGGTCTTACGACTCCTAGCTTTCTCATTCTGCTGGCTCAAGTCGTCGGGCGTCGCGGCGGGGCACTTCCAAAAATGCCCGTGGAAACCGTCCGTTGACCAAGTCCAGGGTTGGATTCTCGTGTGCACTCTACCGGATGGCGGGGCTGCTCTCGCGCTCGGGGCAATTTGATTCAGGAGACAGAGGAAGCTTGACTAGGACTCCTGTTGCTACTGCGGTAGTTCCAGTGGGGCATCTTGACGTAATTCCTGGTCATCACCTCGTAGTCGACTTTTTGCTCTTCAGGTCGGCTCGGGCTCACAACGTGCTCAAATGTGCCCAGATGCACCACTAGACGACGAGTATCTGGGTCGGTACTACTGTACATAAAGAACCGGTACTGGATCTCAACGTGAGTCATCGCGGTCTTGGGGGAGTTCTCTTCGTGGAAACGGGCTCGTGCTCAGCGAACGTGTCGGCGAGTTGTAGGCAGAATGTGAAGGGTAGGAACTTCTTCGTTTTGCAGGGTGATTCGATTCATTGTCGACGTGCCCTTCACTAGGACCACTCCTGCGGGACATCGACACTCACCTGCGCATTGTGGCAAATTGTTCTTGACGATCAACTTTATTTGCGTCGTTGTTGAACCATTTTAAGGAACTTCAACGAGTGTAATTCGGACGCGCTGCAAGTGCATTGTAGGACTAAGAGGAGGAAGCGCACCAAATACAGTCAACTGTAAGTTTAATGACAACGAATACAATCAAAGACAATCAGCTCGTCTCAATCCGATTATTTACTACGTTTCTAGTACCAGTGCTCATGGTCAACTTCGAGGACGTCTTGTTGATAACTTCAGATTCCCTTTCTCACCTGCTTCAGTAGCTGTAGCATGCAGGAGAGCGAACAATACTCTTGAACGTCAGAATGTATACACGTAACATTCTTCCAATGAAAGTGTCTCCGAGTACACCGAGCGCATTCATGATAGCCAGGTCAAAAATCAGTTCGGTGAAAGAGAACGTCTATGAAATAACAAGTAGTTTAAGAACAATGCCAACGAGACTTCGTTTCGGTGGAAGCGTGTGTGTCTCCAGTATGTTTTGGTGTGGTCGCTTTACAACTGCGCCGCCGACACCAGCAATTGCAGCTGATATACCGTCATCGTTACAGACACCTGTAGTGTAACGGGGTTGCAAGAAATCATGGTACTTTGTACCAGAGGTGTTACACACCTGAGGGTTCGATTCTGTGAAGGTGATATAGAATATCTTATCGGTTTGTAGGGGCTGACGAGTGTCAGCCATTAGATACGAAAGATCTTTGAGTAGGATTAAGGTATTCTATAGGCTTTAACAAAAATAAAATCAGTTCCCATTTTGATCTGAAAGACACGTGGCTTGCGAGCCGTCTTGATCGTTGATCTCTGATCACTAAGAGTTAGCGACACCTCCTTGAGGTAGCTACTCTTGAGCACTAAGTGCTGTCGATTCACTGAATCGTTAGGTCCCCTGGAACAGGGATCTGAAGCTATAAAGCTTGTTGACTCGTAAAGTCGTTAGTTCTTTAGAACTAAGTTGCTCGTAGAGCGTTAAGTCTTCCTCTGACTTAAGGAGCTGTGTAGCTCCGCTACACTTGGTAGCACTCGTAGTCAATCTACGCCTGAGTCTTTAAGACTGATCCTCTGTGAGGATGGAAAACATCACTCCCCTATCTGAGGCCCAAAAGGTCGCGCTTGATAAGCTGACCGCATCTTTGGGTCCAGAGTACGTGGATTTCCTTGTTTCACAAGGTCCTGAAGTGCTTAATGCACGTGTTGAAAGCTTCATGCAGTATGAAGCGACCCTTTTAGGGCAGGTCCAGGACCAAATAGCGTCGGCTATGCCTACACGCTACGTGTCTGTACCAGACGAAGAGGCTAAGCCTCGTCCACTTAGAGTGGAAGTAAAAAACTACTCCGGTAAGGAGGGCGAGAACCTCATCCTCTGGATCCGTGAGATCGAGATGGCCATGAGATCAGGCCTGATCACGCTTGACCATCAACAGGTCTCGCTGGCTATCTCGAAGCTCGATGGTAGAGCTAGAGAATGGGCCTTGACGTGTAGCACGTCGGTGGACATAGCGTTTCCCACATGGGAGTCGCTCAAGTTACAATTGGTACAGGTGTTTTCCCCACCTAACCAGGCTTACCGCGTGCGCTCACGCTTTCTTTCTACCCGCCAGGGTAAGAATGAATTATCGGACTATGTCCAAGAGCTGCGAACGCTCATGGCTGCAATGCAGTCTGACCCTTTGCCTGAAGCAGTCCATGTGACTATCTTCATGGAAGGTCTACGTACTGGCATTGCCAGAACCGAAGTTTTTCGGGTTCACCCCTCTACGTTTGAAGAGGCTGTGAGAATTGCTCTTAATGCTGAGCATAACTTCAAGTCGGCCAGACTTGGTTGGAACGGATACAATCCTCGCTCTGTGAGAGCAAACTATTCGGGTACCACTGCCTATAATAGGCCGGAACCGATGGATCTCAGCTATGCTGAAGATGGAGGTGAAGCTGAGCTTCAAGCTGCTGAGCAGAAACACGTTGTAAGACGATGCTTTACGTGCGGAAGCACTAAACACTTGCGGCCTGGTTGCCCTTTGCGTAAGCAACGCCAGACTACGAGCCAACACTCGAGCCCGAGTCAGAAGTCTGGCATGGCACGGGGAAATGCCGACACCCAGTAGGCGCGGGGCGCCCTACTGGGGAAGAACTATGTTCTGTTACACCTTTAGAAGGTAAAGGAATGCAGGGCTTAGCCCCAAAGAGTACCATACCTACGGGTATAGTGCGTGGATACAAGTCTGGCTTGTTGGTCGCCGAGGCGAAAATTAAGGGCTTCGAGAAGCCTTGGTCGATATTGATCGATTCTGGAGCGTCTTGCAATTATGCTCGACGCCGTTCCCTTGAGGGAAGTCAGCGTTATGCTGAGGCGCTTACAGCGCATGAGGGTGATTCTATCACGGTTCGTTTAGCGACTGGAAGTCGCGTAACGGTGCCTAAAGTTCCATTGAACTTAGGTATAAAGTTTTTAGACTTTGACAGTATTGAGCGCTGTCTTGTCCTAGATTTGGACTCGAGATATGATCTCATCCTAGGTATGGCTTGGCTTGAGCGCCATGAGCCATGGATTGATTGGAGGTCTAAGACCTTAGGCGCTACGCGCAATGTTCCTAGCGAAGCTTTGGAGAGTCATGAACCCACCTTTGCTAGGCAGCAGAAGCGCTATTGGCGCGAGCCTTTGACAGAAGATGTCAATGTGCTGGATATTGGAATGTCCGAGTTATCTAACTCCAATGTTAAAAACATAATTTTCGAGCCTAGCTCGTCTAAAACTAGTGAAACGGCACGTACTCCGTTGAGTGGTACTCGTTGTGATAACGAGTCACTGCATGCTGAAAGCATGGTTGGCCTAGGGCCGAGTGATCAAGGACGTGATTCCTTTGATGTGTGTATGGTGGCACGTGAAATTACACCGAGTGCGGTCGGCCGTGAGAGCACCGCACTGAATGTCGGTAATGACATTTTTGGCCATATGCCATTTAGTGTGGGCGGCCGTGAGGGCACCACGCTTAACGCCGGTAATGGCGTTGTTGGCGATTCGCCATATGGTGTGGGCGGCCGTGAGGGCACCACACCTAATGTCAGTAATGATATTGTTGGCGATACGCCGTATAGTGTGGGCGGCCGTGAGGGCACCACGCTTAACGCCGGTAATGGCGTTGTTGGCGATACGCCGTATAGTGTGGGCGGCCGTAAGGGCACCACACCTAATGTCAGTAATGACACTGTTGGCGATACGCCGTATAGTGTGGACGGCCGTGAGGGCACCACACCTAATGTCGGTCAAGACAAAAGCTCTCGTGTAGAGCGTACTATGGTTGGTAGTAACCATGGGGACAATATTGTCCCGACCCCTAAGGGGTGTAAGGTCTCGAAGAGACAATCGAGACGCCGAGTAGCAGCTGTAAAGCGCCAGGCGTCCTCACAGTCACATAGTGAGATTAGCAATACACTATATACACTTGTTAATGGAGTGACTGGTCAGGTTAATGGCAATGTGAGCCTCGAAACCCTTCCATCTGTGGACGCTCTGTGTGAGCTAGACGAAATGTCTGATGGCGAGTTTAGCCAGGCCTTGAAGGCAGGAGAGTTATCCGAGTTAGCAATCATTAGACCTGATACTGACTTAAATTCTTCCTCGTTAATGGATGAGCCTGTCCTAGAGGATACAAAGGCGGCACTTAGTGCACGAAGTGGATCTTCGATCCTTAAAGATCGTTTGGATCCGTTCTATCCTTTAGTCAAGGAATTTCAAGATGTGGTGTGTCACAACCCACCTTCTGCCTTACCTCCCGATAGAGGTGTACGTCATGAGATTGACTTGGTTCCTGGGACTAAATACTGTGTAACACGGCAGTGGCCTTTGCCTAAAGAACAGTGCTACGTCATTGACGATTTCTTTCGTGCTAAGCACGCGGCTGGTATGGTTCGTGAGAGTAAATCTCCCCATTCAACACCGACATTTTGTGTCAGAAAGCCAAATGGCAAGTGGCGTATTGTGCATGCTTACAATAAGCTTAATGCAGCCACTATACCGGCGCAGACGCCTATTCCTAGAAAGGATGTTCTTCAGAACAATATGGCGGGATGTACACTGTACAGTGCACTCGACTTAGGCGATGGTTATTACCAACTGCTCATGCGAGCAAGCGATATTCCGCTAACAGCGGTGGGTACTCCGAGCGGTATGCTTTGGGAGTGGCTCGTTATGCCACAAGGGCTATCTAACGCCCCGGCTACATTTAACCGGTTGGTAACGCAACTATTCAGACCTCATCGAGGCTATGCACAAACGTACTTTGATGACATTTTGTCCATAGTCGTGCAATGAATGGGCGATCAGATGTGGACAATCACATCGATCATTTACGAGCGGTGCTCGGGTGTATGCGGATGAATAAGCTGTATGCGAACGCATCGAAGTGCATCTTTGGTGCAGAAGAGATTCCCTTTCTAGGGTGCTTCATTGGGAAGCGAGGCCTTCGAGCGGATCCCGCTAAGGTAAAAGCCATAGTCGATTGGCCAGTCCCCAAGAACCAAAAGGACTTGCGTAAGTGGCTTGGCCTTGCCAATTACTTACATAAGTACAGTGCAAATTACGCAGATATGGCTCGGCCATTGTCCAATCTCCTTAAAAAGGATGTGGGTTGGTGTTGGGGTAACACCGAACATAATGCTTTTGAAGCAGTTAAGGAGAGTCTCCTTCATGCGCCAATATTGGCTTTGCCCGATTCTGGTCGGCCTTTCAGTGTCGTCTGTGACGCATCTGACTTTGCCATAGGCAGTGCTCTGTTACAAACAGATGTCGACGGACGCGAACG